CTTCTTTTTTTACGGAGAAGTAGCCATCAATATTTCTTTCATCCCCTTCTACCACCTGGTGGTAAGCAATATGCGCCCATAGATCCTTTGCATTCTCCACGCGGCGGGTCCCAGTGCGCCAGGAGCAGCACCCAATTAGGTTCATCCCCATCACCGTGCCCTTAAATCCCATCCTTGTTGCCATGTCTCGGACGGCCAGAGCCGACTCGAGATGATTCAAATATCACTCGGTTGTTTGGGCGAGCTGGTGAATGGAGTGGCAGACACAGCTTATTGGTTGCAAAAACTTTACTTACGCCGCTTGTAGCCGCGACGCAGGTGGTCCGGTCACTTGAACAACTATGTGAGTTGCTCCAGCTGGCAAGCCTCAGGCCAGCTAATCCATCCACAAATTAAGCCGGCAGGGAAAGGGTACGTCAAGGACGACGGGGAGAAGAATCGATAGGTGATCAGTCTATCGATCAGCTCAGCCGCAAGTCAGATCTCTTTAGAAGCACTCTGCAGCATGCTCAAAGTTCTCCGACTTGGGCGGAAGTTGCACGAAATTTTAAATGGCTAGCAAGCCAATTACTAGCCGCCATGTAGGACTAATTTAGAACTGGCCAATAGCGGGACACAAATTTGCATTCAAATGGCGGGAACTCTCTTGCACCGGGGTTTTTCTGTTGCAACAAAAACCTTTTGCTGTGCAAGAGGCTCTCATGTGGTGGGAAAATTCCATCATGCCGAGGCACCAAAATCACTGGGTTGTGACAACCACCAGGGGCTGATGAACCATGTCTCACCTGCCTGTGTACCAGAGTCAGACTTTCCAAGGAACTAATGAAGACGTGGGCTTATGCCATTTGTTTAACCACCTGTGACTGTGGCACAGAGCCTCAGATTATGTAATACCTGCTGCAATGCCTGCTGTTTGAAGGCACATGTACAATGAAAGATCTTGCAGGGTACAATAGTGAACACAAGTATATAACAGAATGGTTGCGTGTGGTGTAGACACACAAGAAGATGAAGAACTGTGGCGGAATCCTAACACAAGTCTCCTTTAGGTGAATGAAACTGCTCCACCTCCCTTTCAAGTTCTTGAGATCTTTGTCACTTGCCCCATTAAAAAATGTTTCCAGGAGCTGGTGGAAGGTGGATCAAGATGGAGCTTTGAGCCTGTGCAGTAGCTTTTCTTTTATTTGATCTTAGTAGTTCAATATTTCTGCTCATCTCAACACTTGTTAGGTACTAGAAATTCAATGCCTTGATATGTTCCAAAATAATTTGTTACTGCACGTTCTGTATTTTACCTCTGTATGTTCTAATCAGCTTCAGTGAGACCTTTCTTCTCTTTGCTATAGAATTTCCTTTCCAAGCAGTGGTATGGAGAGATCTCAAGAGACACCAAGAACTGGAAGATTATATTGTGTCTCTTCCTTTTCCCTTTAATTGGCTGTGGGTTCATTTCCTTCAGGTAAAGAACAGAACACTCTTTAGCAAAGAAGTGAAGGGAAAAAAATCAATATTATCTTTCTACGTAGGGGCTTATATAGGGTTCATGTCATTATAGTATGATTTGCCAAAGGCTGTGCAGAGGGTGTGACAGAACTAGCAACTGGACTCAAGAAAACCAGGGCCCCTGTTGAATGTCTTACTCACAAAATCATCATTCATGTCTCAGTCTTTCTGTAACTGATGTTGATGTGAACACCCTAATAAAAATAGAAGAGATTTACATTGTCAATAGCCAACAAATATTGTTTCCACCTGATAACCTATCTGCAAATAGTATCGTGGCCTTGGCCACTAAACAATTTTAGTTGTCAAGTGATCACATCAGCTCTTGATTAGTTGAGAGTGCTAATAAGATGCCTGTTGGTGGAATACGGTAATGCCATAGATACAGTTGTGCCTAATCACAGTCCTTCACGGTCATAGTTGACCACCCTGCAAATGTATGTGAAGTCAGATCAATTTTAATGGATGTAACTCACACCACACTTGTTTGACTGCACTTAATCATCAATTTCACATGCTTTTCACATAAATTATTTCCATTAAAAAAATAAAGAACACTAGTTTTTAGAAATGTCTGCTTGTTTTAATAAATCTTTCTTCAATTGTCTAGGAAAAAGCCTATGGAGAAGAGTAAGAAGCTCATCTTGTATTATTTATCATTCTTCACTTCCCCATTTGTGGTTTTCTCCTGGACTGTCATTTTCTACATCATGTTCCTGCTGCTTTTTGCTTATGTCCTGCTTATGGATTTCCAGAAGGAACCCACCGTGCTGGAGGAGCTACTTTATGTTCTGGTCTTCATCCTGCTTTGTGATGAAGTGAGACAAGTAGGCAGTGCTCACAAACCAAATACTGTTTATTTCCAGGCAGATACTTTTCCCCCTTAGATGCCAAAACACAATGAGATCTCCTTGAAGTTATGCGCAAAATCTTCTGCATAAAAGGCCTTTCACTAACCCAAGTGAAGTGGCTTATGGTTGGCATATGTGTAGAGACCTACTGAAATTGTGATTATGCATTTTTTTCAGAAAATACAAAATCAGGTGTTTTCTGCCAAAAAACTGTGGGCTCAGAGATTTTGGTGGGCTTTCTGGGAAAAAGAAGCAAGCAGAGAAAAGGGTGGGACGCCCTGCAGTCTTGGAGTCTGGGAAAATAGGGGAAGATGGGCTGCTTACAGCAGGTGGTGGGGAGGCTGCAAGCAGCTTCACCTGGGTCCATGGAGCCCTGGCTCAGCTCATTGCTTGTGGTGGGTGCACACATGCCTTGGAGTAGATGGCAGGAAAGGGGCCAGGGTTGCCCTGCCATCCACCCTGAGTTGTGTGTGCAGAGTTTAATTGAATGCTTAGATTGGGTGTGGCCCAAAAACACATTTTAATTACCCTGATTAAGCCCCAGGAAATAATTAATCCACATTTAATAACCTGGCAATTTGTAGGGAGGGGTGGGACTGCCCAGGGCCCTTAGGCCAATCAGAGGCATGGCTGGGGGAGAGGGACTGCTGTAATCAGCCCGTAAAAATGACAGCCATGCCTGTGATCTGCCTGTGAAATTGGCTGCCTGCATCCTCAACTTGGGTAAGTAACTCCCACACATACTGGTGGTATCTATTCATGTGTGCTGAGTGGAAAGTATACTGGATTCTAGGCTGTATAAATTATCCCATGCCAGGTTCAAATTGTCAGAGCAATCTATAGCACATTGACTAATTTTTAATGGCTGCTGGCTATAAATGTTGTAGGCTCCTCTGATGACCTGTTCAGCTATCATTGGTATTTTTTTTTGTCATTTAATGAGCAAGAGAACTGTGACTTTGTGGGGAGGTCTGGGATTTAGATGGGTAAAGACGGAATGCTTTCTAAATGAAGAACTAAACCTAGTGAGACTTCCTAATTTCTGTTTTGCAGTGTTATTTTTAGCTTATCTATAAAGATTGCTTTTTCTTGTCAGGGGAGAATACTTCTAGTAATAATGTTTTAAGATGATGGGGAATTCAGAATGCAGCTTGACTGGTGAAGAGATCAGAGGTACTAGAAGAGAGGGTTTATTAGTTCAGGGCTGGCTTGAATATCTTGTAAGACACAGGGCCACAGGACAAGTGCCTTTCAGCCATCCTATACACAAGGGCTTGCAGGACAAGCATAAAACACTCTAGAATGTTTTACTGCTATTATAATCCTACTATTTCATCTTTGGATATTTTTAGGGGAAAAAATATTTTAATAAATGGTGATGCCTCATATAAGCTTATTTTGTGGGTAGAAAAGGGAAGGCTTTACAAAGGCCTTTGTTACCTTGAAAACATTCATTTTGTAGGCTAGGCATATAGGGAATTAGTTCCAATAATTCTTTCACTAGTTCTCTGTGTAGTCAAAATCACTTTGGAACTAAGTATGTTACCCTGCATGCCCATAATCATATCTAGTAGGGTTGTGTGAAATTTCACCTGGTGTTTCCTTTCGAAGCTGTTTTGATGCATTTCAAGCTCAAAGCAATGAAACTGAAATGAAACAAAAGCCTTCAAAACAGCTCCAAAATGAAACAAGGGCACTCGAAATGCTTCAAAAGTTTTGAAGCCAGGCTTACTTGGCTTCAGCATTGGTCCCAGGTGGCAGTAGCAGCCTCCTGTCATCTGGCAGGCAGATCGGGGACCCACTCGCACCCCCAGGAGGGCTGCAGCGCTCTGCCGGACTCCTCCCAGGGGTGTGGGCTCCTGATCTGCCTGCCGGATGACAGGAGTCTGCTGCTTCTGCCTGGAACCAGTGCCGGGCACAGCCTGCGCCCAGTGCCAGGAAGGTAAGTGCTGCTGCTGACCCCAGCTGGCAGCACCAGCCTCCTGTCATCTGGCAGGCAGATCGGGGGCTTGCCCGCACCCCCGAGAGGGCTGCCGGGGCTGTGCCAGACTCCTCCTGGGGTGCAGGCCTCCGATTTGCTTGCTGGATGAGAGGAGGCTGGTGCTGCTGGCTGGGAACAGAGGCAGCACCGATCTTCCTGGCACTGGGTATGGAATAGCCTATGGTCAAAACGTTGGAACAGTATCAAAACAGTGAAACAGTTTTGATGAAATGAAATGGAACAGTGCTTTTAAAATGAAATTAAACTTGAAACGAAACACTGTTCCATTGAAACGGAAGTTGAAGCAGAATGGTGTTGTTTCACACAGCCCTAAAATCTAGCCCAATTCCCAGTGCTGTTAATGAGGATACATACATAAGAACTATACAGGTCAGTAAAGATTGTCAGCCCACAAGTTAATTGGCAGATAAATTATTTGATACTTGAAGGCAGGCTGATATGTGGCAGAGAGCTGCTGAGCTGTGTGGCTTGGCTGCAAAATAAATGTTTGAAAGTCCCAGCCAGGGAGTCAAAGGTAGTGAAGTGCTAATTCCCTTAGGCTCCTTCACAAATTCCAGTACTTGGTTTCTCTTTGAGTTGAGCTGTATAGAAGCTTGGCAGTCAGACTTCAAAGATGCATGTGGTTTGTTCCCTGCCTGACTACTACACTTCATAGAGTTTTGGAGGAAGTGGGCATGTTTGAAGGTCTTATTTCGCTTGAGATGAACGGGAGATTAACATTGCTTGGCATCTCACTAAAATCAGTATGAGCTCAAGCAACGTTAATGCAGGTATTTAGGAAACATGTATAAAAAAGAATGGTAATGTTTCTATTGGATACACTGGATAAAAATTGATGTAAACTAAGAGCTGGCCCCTCTTGCTATACTGGAACAAAACTTTAATCTTGCATTTGAGTACTCCCAAACCTTGCAACTATTGGAATCTGGGACATTTATATACATACATTTGTCTGCTCTGGCATGTCAGAAATCCAGAGCATCAAAGCAGACTCGATTAATCAAGTCTGCTGCACATGCTAGCTGATGTGCTTGTTCACATACATTTGTGTAAACAGCGAAATGTGCATCAGCACTTAGAAAATGGTGGTGGTGTGCTTTGAATTATGCAACACCTTTGATGTGTTTTAGTTCAAAAGCTCACCACCACCATTTTTTCAGTGCTGATGCACGTTTTGTCATTTTTGCTGGATTGGCTGACACACATTTTCTCTGGATTCAGACTCCTTGGTTCAAGTTTATCTTCTGGAAGGAATTTCCTGGGCAATCGCATCCAGGCCCTTGTGCTCACAGGCAGTGGTTAACCCAGCGAGGCTTTGCCAGTTTTCACCCACTGCATGAATGGAAAACAATTGGTTAATATAGATGCAGAAGATCCTAGGGAAAGGACCATGCCTTAAACTACAAAGGAAGATAACTGCCCCTTCCCCTCTCCAATCCCCATACAGACCATGCCATTGTGATTTACAGGAAAAAATCCTTCCTGGCCCCATATTTGGTAACTGGTATGGCCCTGAGCAGAATGGACCTCTAGGAAAAAACCCTCAGTTTTCTAAGCACTGGCAGGAATATCTGCGCAGTACGGTCAGTCCCCGCTCCTTCTACCAACAATTTAGCTGTTATCAATGTCCTAATGCCTCAAAGGAAGGCAAAAGGAAAAAAAGAAATAAACAAAAAAACCTAAACTAAACTAAAGTAAGAAACCAGTAGCATTCATGGGGGAAGGGAGGGGGAGGAAATCCTTCTGGACTTCCACTGGCCACCAGCAAAAGTCTTGAGGCATGGGATTACAAGATGCCTTCCACATTACAAGTGCTATTTCTATACTTCAGCCTGGAGGGGCCACAAGCACGTGGTGCGGACAGAAGTGCAGCTCCCCTCTGTAACTGAGAACGTTTTGCAGGAAGTATTCTGAGTTGCAATGATACCCCAAATGAAACCGAAGTTTATCGTTTGTTGTGCGAAGCTTTGCTGGCTGTTTCATTTTGATGCTGTTTTCACTCATTTTGAGCTTGAAACAGTGAAATCAAAATGAAACAAAGGACTTCAAAACAGCCTTGAAATGAAACGAGGCCAGTCAAAATGTTTTAAAAGTTCTGAGTAGCTCTGCAGCCCCCTGTGGCTAAGCCCAGCAGGGAGCACAGCCCTGGCTCTCCCTGCCTCCCGCCACTGGGCTAAGGTCCGTGGGATGCTGGAACTGAGTGGATTGCAGAGCCAGCTCTGCCTGCCTGCCACCGTGGGGCTGTACTGTGAATGGCTCCGCCAGCCCCATGGGGCTCAGCCGGGTGGCGGGCAGAACCAGGGCTGCGCTCTGCCTCCTGCCACCGGCCTGAGTTCCATGGGGCTGTGAGCCGCTGGGACCTGAGCCCAGTGGCGGGAGGCAGAGTGCAGCCCGGTGCCCCTCTCCGCTTCCCCACACCAGGCTCAGTTCCCCAGTGCTGCCTGCTGGATGACAGGAGGCTGCTGTTGCTGGCTGGGACTGGTACTGGGCACAGCCCGTGCTGGGATGGTTGGTGCTGCCACTGGTCCCAGCCAGCAGCGCCAGCCTTCTGTTATCCAGCAGGCAGATAGGAAGGGCTGCAGGGGCTCTGCAAGACTCCTATAAAGGGGGTATGGGCCCCCGATTTGCCTGCCAGATCACAGGATGTTGCTCCTACTCTCCGGCTCTTGCTTGTCAACAGCTTGAGGTGCACTTTCCTACAAACCTCTGCACTTATCTCCTTGAAACTTGGTAGACTCTGTGCGCTCAGAAGGGGCTATCATCTCTGCAAGTTTCATCCAAATCAGGCAAGAAATAACAAAGTTATAGGCTGTTTCATGCTTCCCTATTATAGCCTATGGGCGAAATGTCGAAACAGCATCAAAATAGTGAAACCATTCTGATGAAACGAAATGGAACAGCACTTTTGAAACTAAACCAAACTCTAAATGAGACACTGTTCTGTCAAAACATCAAGACCGAAGTCAAAGCTGCAAAGGAATGCTGCTGTTTCGCGCAGCCCTAGTATACGCCTTTACAAACAATGCTGTCAGCTTCAGTTTGCTAACATTAAATTGTCCATACTACTGCCAGAATATTAAATTTCACAGAGTTCTGGAGCAAGTGTGAGTGTTTGAAGGTTGGATTTCATGCAAGATGAAAGGGAAATTAACTTTGCTTGGCATCTCTCTGAAATCAGTGAGAGCTCAAGCAACATTAATACAGATATTTGGGAAAACGTATAAAAAAGAATGCTAATGGTTTTACTGGATACAGTACATAAAATTGCCCTAATTTAAAGCTCTAAATTCTATATGCTCACAGTGGTGTAAATCCCATGTAGCCCTATGGAATCTATGGGTATCTAGCTTTATATTTGTTTATTTCTAGGCACTAAGGTGGGTGGACATTAAGTCAGTGAAGTTATTCCTGACTTAAACTAGAAGGCAGGATAGAGTTGTGCCTTATAGACTAACTGAATCAAAGTTTCATAAGGTCTCATAAGAAATAGCTCACATGGCTAATGGCCTCTCTGACTGAAACTAGCATAACTAAGGACAGGCACCAGTCCTCTTTCTTATTCCCCCATTATTTGTCTTTTCTTCACCTCAAAATAATTTCATCTTAAGGCTCCTTATTCTATAAAAGATGTGACATCATAGCTGAGCTGTTAGTACTGTACTTTGCTTGTCTCATTAAGGGATGCAAAATTTTGAGTTGTTCAAATAAAATGTAAATGTGGGAGAGGCAAGGATTGCTGTGGGTAATGCATTGCATTTGAAAGCTTGTCTAAGTCTCCCCCAACCATGCGGTTGGTCCAATGAAAGATATCACCCACAATAATCCTTGCCAGTCATGTAATTCCTGAACCATCATGGCTACATTGCTTCAATGCTACCAAAATATGTGAAACTTCGATCATTTATGGTGATCTCCATTTTACAAGAAGCAAGGCATTTCATTTGGAAAAGCACCACATACAGGATAACTGCTATGTCCTGTTTAATTGGCGTGCTCTTCTTCCCACTATCTCCGCCACATTCTGTCCATGGCTGAGTATGGGCTGACTTTGTGCGTCAAAAGAATGTAAAGAATACTTTGAAAGATCTTGATTTCATCCACTGTACAGTGGATTAGATTTTAACTTGAAGACTTTCATAACCACTGTGCATTGTTAACCAGGATTCTCATCTGCCACATGATTTCATTTGGGCTAGTTAGCCAAACAGTTTACTCCAATGTATTATTTTGTAGAAGGGTGAAATGATGACTAGTCCATTTTGTTTGCCAACAAATGCAGTGTAAATTGAATTGCTATTTTATGTTCTCCTTGAATGTCTCAGCAACCCAAGAGATGGTAATTGATTCAGGAGCATTTGAACTGTTGACATTTGGATCAAAATTGAAACTAAGCCTATTTGTAGTAGATACTTATTGATACTTATTTAGAATTGAACATACCTTGTGGGATGCCTAAGGGGAAGACAACGTAGAAATTAACTTAACTAGCCACTAGGTGCCACCATTTCACTTCTTAAATACAACTAAATACTTTTCCCATAAGTAAGAATCTTGGGTTTTAACATATTGATTATAAGTGTAAAGGTTTAAATCTTTAATTACATGAACATACTTTATAATGATTGTATATACACTAACATTGTTTCTACCAGATATCACTTTGATTCGTGAAATCATTTAATAATTTTGTAAACATTAATAAGAAAATAATAAATAGGATTACCCAAGGGGTTGATTGGATTTGTGTTGGTTTTAATGTTTCAGGTTAAAAGCTGAATTGGAGCTAAGATTTTGAATGAGACTAAGTAATGCTGAGATCTCAAGCTGTTTCACTGAGAATGAAAAGAGATTTTGACCAATTGATCACATGATATTTCTGTTCTATTGCACTACTTCTGAATTGGATATAGAAGCATGTCTCTTTCCACTTACAATTCCAGTCTTTGAACAATTTTCTGTTGTGGTGAGGATAATTCAACCATGTTTTCTAAATGTAGAAGTGGATGGTAGTTTAAATTTGAAGTTGTGTTTTAAATGCACACTTAATTGAATATATGTATAACTAAAGATCCAAATGATTATTTGGAAAGCTTTTTTAAAAATATGGTCCAGAATCTTTGCTAGCCAGTTAACAGTTTTTGTAGGCACAGCTGGAAGGATTTAGATTCCAAATAAGAAAGGAGAGGCCACAGGCAAAGAACTTACACCAGTGTTTCTATAATAGCTGTCAGTGGTCCATGAAACACTTCATAAGCTGTTGCATAGTACTGTACTTCTAATAGCTAATCTTTACAATACCCCATAAGGTAAGAATTTTTTGCTACCATCGTTTTACAGAAGGAGAAACATGAGAAAAGATTTCACCAAAGAAGTGGTGGTCACTTTAACTAGCTAACGCAGAACTTCCTTTTAGCTGTCTGATGTTGTACAAGTATTTAAACTAATGCCCAACTAGAGAAGTGTGCATAATGCATATGCAATCCATCTTACTACAGCGTAAATCTATGGTCTTACCTACTGGCATTGTCTCCCATAGGAAGGCTGAAGTTGCTCTGGTTATAGTCTCAAAATTCAAGCAGAAGTACAGAGTTCAAGGTTCAAAGTTTCCTTGTTCACTCCTACTGAGGACCTGTGCATGAGGTCATTGTGTGTAGTATCTTTTATCATTAGCTGAGGGACTCAACTAATTTGTTCAGGCTAACCCATTTACAGGCATTAGACTGCAGGATCAATTTAGAGTTTTGCTTTAAGAAACTCTCAGTCTCTACTGGTGAGCAATTACTCCTCTGTGAAGTCCTACTAAAGCTAGGGGGCACACTGCATGGTCAATTGGTTCCAGTGCTAACTCAGAATGCAGGAACAAAACGAGCCTTTAAGACTCAATTAATCTTTAAGACAAGTGAGCTTATTTTCAAATGAGGCTTTAGGACTAATCAAATCTTGACTTGACTTAACCCTGATAGAGGTTAGCAATAAAGCATGCGGTGGTAATGCTTCCCAACACATATGAATGTAATATTCAGAATTTTATCTTTAGAGAAAATATCAGGGATCAGATCAATGGTGTGGCCAATAGCAGTACTGGCAAAGTAATTGGACCAGAAATACAAGATAGGAGCAAAGGAACAGATTCTTCCGCTTTTGCCCTCTGCAAGTAGTGTCTTTCTACACAAGTATTTCCAAGGGAAACCTTGAAAATTTTGCCAAACAAAGCACTCAATATAAGTAAAGGTGGTGGGATCAGGCCCATAATGTTAGTAGTTAGAGCTGTTACTTTGTTGTATAATGATTTTCTTTCTTTTCCTTTCTAGTGGTACATGAATGGGAGTAAATATTTCTTAGACCTATGGAATGTCATGGATACACTTGGCATTTTTTACTTCATTGCAGGAATGGTGTTCAGGTGAGTAGTATTTATTTAACAGCATGTTTCCAGGATTTGCCTCCATTCCAGGCATGCTAGCACAGCTTGTTAATGGATTTAGAAAGAATGGGTGCAACCTCAGCTGAACTTGCTGATGAACTCCTATTATTCTATAATGGAAGAGAAAGTCATGGATTTTTGGCTTCAAGGTACAAAGATTGGTTAGCAGAAAGACTTGCAGCCTGAGGAGGATTTGTGTTGACAAACTTTTCTCTTGATGGGTAATGATGCAGTGCAAAGCAGTTTGACTTCATAGTTGTTGGACTCTCAAAGTTCAGTAAATCCAGTTCTCTGGTAAAAGAAGTTTGTTTCCTAGAACTTGGGCCTTTTACAGGCCAGCAGCACACTATTGTAGGGAATATATCTGTCAGAAATGTGTGTGGGGCTTTCCAGCATTTTGAACCTATTGAACCTTGTTAACCTTGCAAATTTCTCACAGAGCACTGTGTACTTGTCAAATCCTTAATGGAAAAAGGAGTAGGTTGTGACCATTTTTGTGGAACAAATGGTTTCTCAGATTGACATGGGAGTGGCTAAGGATGGTTTAGATTTCTCTTCCAACTTTTTGCATGGCTCCGGTGTTTAGACCTGATTCATCAACACTTATTTTAACCCCTAATTAAAAAATGAATCATTTTGAAAAGGCTCTGTTACTTTGGCCTTCCCTAATGTGTTGCCTTCAAGCACTGGTTGGATTGTTCCAGCTCCAGTTCCAGGCTTTGCTAGATACCTGGAGTTCTTATCCTGAGGCTGAATTCTCTGTGTAGTGTTCTTTGGGTTCAAGAATATTCCAGCTGAATATTCCATGAGGTCCATGAGACTTACAGAACCCAAAAATGAGCCAAACTCTTCCCTGAATCTTACCACTGCCTTGGATTTGACATAATTGGATTTACCCTGGTGTAGCTGAGATCAGTTTGGCTTGATGTATACTTTAACATGCTCAGTGGAAACATATTTCATACTGAGACCACAATAAGACCAGTGGTAATAGCAGTGGAGGTAATCCTGAGGATGTACACAATTTGATGAAGCAGAACAGAAGTCTTATGCTAATGGACTAAGGTCTTCTAAGGTTTTAGGGAGGAAGATTGTTGCCCCTGGCTTCTGATAGTTTAGGACTTGTCTCTTTTGTAAATTCAAACTGCTAATTGGATTAAAAAAGAAACATACAAGAGAACCTTGCCATTTGCGGGGGATCCATTCTGGAGATCCCTGCGAATGCTGAAATCCGTGAATATTGACGGGGCTCCCCATCAGCCCCCACAGCCCCCTTGAGAAGCTGGAAGTGGGGGTTTCCCCGCAGCACCTGGGGACCAACCGCGGCTGCTTCCAGGGGAGAAGATGCCACTGCCGCTGCTGCCTCCCTCCCTGTCTCCAGCATTCACTCTCCGACCACCCAGCTCTGCCCTCCCCCTCCGCCTGCCTAGCTCTGCTCTCCACTCCGCTCTCCCCGACTCTGCCCACCCCCATCCTGCGCAGCACTTCGTGCCTGCTTACGCAGAGGTAGGAGCTTGGTGCAGTGCCAGAGGGAGCCGTGGTGGCGTTCGCCCTGACCCACCCCGTTGGTGCAGCATACCACAAATATTCAAATCCGTGAAAAGCAGATTTGCAAATAGCAAGGGTTTCTTGTATACCTGAACAAATTTTCCTTTGATTTTGCAAAGCCCTAAACTTGCTAGAAGGCTTATATGGCTCAGAGGGAGGTTCCATTGTATGTGTTACATTTCTGGTTCGGGATTTTGTTTTGCAAAATCTGTGCTCAATTTCATCAGTCCTTGTCTGATTGTAGTCTATGCTGTTGCTTCATCAATTCTGACCTCCTTAATTTTCCAGATATCCAGTAAAGTTTACCTTTTAATTGCATGGTAGGGATTGGTAACAGGGCATAACAGATTGTATTACTCAGGGGTTGTGAATTTGGCTCTGCCAGTTACTGATTGTTAATTATTGTTGATTGGTAGTGACTTCTGGTGTGTGAACTGAATTGTGGCCTGATCAAACTCTGACTGAAGTCAAGGGAAGGAATCATTGATTTCAGTGGGTTTTGGACTAGTGGTGCTAGCCCAGTTGCTAATGGGTTATTGTTCCCTTCATAAAAAATCACAATTAGCATTATTTTGTATCCTTGCCTTAAAAGAAAAAAAGGCTCCAAATAAAAATGAAAACTAACGATCCAAAACCAAGTTCAGATGTTTGTTGCAGATAATAGAATGGTTTGCAGTGGAAGGGTCTACTTGTTCTTTATCTGAGGTTTGTCTGGTTTCTAGTCTTTCAGTTTAGCTAATCCAGACTGTTCCCATTGTATGTGGTGTTTTGAAAAGATGGCTGTATCTCATGCAGACTCTATAACAGAAACTCACTATTTTACAGAGGCTACATTCTGTATATGCACCAGTAAGTTAAGCACTATAAAGCCATGATAACACATTGCACAGTGTACTTAGAATGCTAATTTGGAGGGCAGGGTGGGGGGAATGAAAGAAACGAGTTCCCTACAGCATTTGCTCTTACATTTTTACTAAGAGAACAGAAGGATAGGCTGTCACCTTTTTTTATTATAACACATAAATGAGTAAACCATAGATTAGCTACTTCCTACTTGATGCTTTAGATTACTTAAGTGCATTTTTGGTTTTACCTCTGGACATTTTAGCCAATGTTTCACTACTTTTTTCTTCTTCTTCTGCAGGCTCCACTCCTCCAATGAAAGCTCTTTGTATTCTGGAAAAGTCATTTTTTGCCTGGACTACATAATTTTTACTCTAAGACTGGTCCACATTTTCACAGTTAGTAGGAATCTGGGACCAAAAATTATTATGCTGCAGAGGATGGTAAGATGCTGATAATCATTCAAGCTGCTCTCTGTGATGACAGTAGTATCTTCATGGAATTAAATTCACCCATTATATTGATGACAGGAGCAAGTTCCTCGCTTCTCTGAAATCTTCAAGTAGGGATTAATTGAAATTTAAACAGGACATAATTAGTGCAGGGTGCTGTGGTGGCCATTTTCATGAGTATCAGTTTCGCTCTGAATGAAGATCAGACTTACAAGCCACAAGGAGCTGTAACCTCTTACTAGGTCAGGTTATCTCAAATGCTGTAGAGCTGAATTTGGTAGTTATCATGACTCACCTAAACATTCTATATCAAAGTTGGTTGTGGAAAAAAATATCACAATGGAAAAAGGAATACTCCAAAAGCTTTTGAAGTGATACATTTACTAAGGACTACTTGGAGGGAACTTGACTACTGGGGCTGTCAAAATTTTGCCTGGTATTTCGTTTCAAAGCAGTTTCGATACATTTTGAGCTCAAAACAGTGAAATTGAAATGAAACAAAAGCCTTTGAAACAGCTTCAAAATGAAACAAGGGCACTCAAAATGTTTCAAAAGCAGGCTTACTTGGCTTCAGTGCCGGTCCCAGCTGGCAGCACCAGCCTCCTGTCATCCAGCAGGCAGATTGGGAGCTCTCCTACACCGCCAGGAGGGCTGCGGGGGCTGTTCCGACTGCTCCCGGGGGTGCAGGCCCCCGATCTTCCTGCTGGATCACAGGAGGCTTGTGCTGCCACCTGGGGCCAGCGGCAGCCAGGGCCATCCCAGGGCGGGGGTGCAAATTGGGGTAACTGCCCTGGGCCCTGCCCTGGGCCATGCACTTTGGGGGACCCCATGGAGCTGGGCAGAGTGGCCATGGCGCATTTGGCCGCTCGCTATTCCCCCCCGCCCTGCCGGTGCTGCTAGCAATGGTGGCAGCAGCTTCTTTGCATGCAGAGCACGTGGGATTGGGGTGGAGGCAGGTCCCCGCACAAGCTGATTTGCCTCGGGCCCCACACCAGAGCTGACCTGAGGAGGGTGTGGAGCCCGGGGCAAATCAGCTCATGTGGGGACCTACCCCCACGCTGATCCCGCACACTCTGATGTGAAGAAGCTGCTGCTGCCATCAGCAGGGAGGGCTGCAGGGGCTGTGTCTGACTCCTCCTGGGGGTGTGGGCCTCCCGATCTGCCAGCTGGATGACAGGAGGCTGGCGCCCAATCTGCCAGCAGCAGCACCAATCTTCCTGGTGCTAGGTGTGGAATAGCCTATGGGTGAAACATTGAATCAGCATCAAAACAGTGAAACAGTTTTGATGAAATGAAATGGAACAGTGCTTTCAAAACAAAATTAAATGAAACTCAAAATGAAACACTGATCCATCGAAACAGAAGTCGAAGTGGAATGGTGCTATTTTGCATAGCCCTATTGACAACCTCAGGATTTAAAGTAGGGAGTGGTTCAGTTCTTTCCTCTTGTTTTTGATGAGGAAGAGTAGATCCCTGGTTATCAATCACTACCAGAGCCAGAGGAAATAGGAGGGATCTGGAGCCATTTCTATAAACACAGGCTCAGTGCACTCTAGTGGTTACAGGAGGAGAAGCAGTGTAAGTGTGTTGGGGCATGTGTAGACAAAACGGGGGTTTACTTTGCTGTAAACTGAAGGGTGGGTTTTTAAAAACACCGCTTCTATTTAAGGCAAAGTAAATCCCTGTATCGTGTACACCTGTGTCTTACCTGCCTTTCCAGCAGTGGGGAGGGGAGGGTGAGCTGCCGGTGGGAGGAACAGTCCCTGGACTATGGGGAAGGATGAGGTTGATGCTTTCCTTCATGGCAGTGGTTGCCGCCCCCCCCAGGTAGCACCCGCCTGCAGGCACCTGACTCGGGCAGTCCTGGGGGGCACTGCAGCTATGGAAGGAAGGATCAGGTCCCTTTATATCTCATGTAGGCAGGCAGGCTTCAGCGGGGGAAAAAACGATCAGGCTCACCACTTCATTATTTTCCTTTGGTGGAGCCTACCTTCCCAGGCTGCTGCCAGGGTGCTTGCACAGGCTGCCTGCACAGCCCCTGAGTCAGTGCTTTGCTCTCTGGTTGTAGGGCAGCAAACTAAAATTCCTCAGAGGCATTTTAGTTTGCTGTGCCCCAAAGTCATTTAAGGTGCATTACAGTGCTGAATGTACTACAGCGGCTGGAAGTGAAATGCGCAATATGCCACTGACACATGCAAACACCAACACCATTAAAGCAGTGCAAAAGCATTTAACCCACTTTAAAGTGTCGTGCACACATGCCCCTCATTTCATCTACACACACCCTTGCACTCCTAAATGACTGCCGCAGAAAACAGGTCTAGGGAGAAGAGTGCTGTAGGGTGAAGAACACTGACAGAATGTGGCAGGCTCTGTAGAAGCTACTGAATGTGAGCATGCATGATGAAGCCTGTCTGTCCTATAGAGACACTGGACATCCTGATGGTTCATGCTGCTGTTCCACGTGCCATTGGCTGCAGATATTAGCATTAGGAAAATACAACCCCGATGAGCTGCTGGGACCGGGCAGTTTTTTTTTCCACTTTTTTTGACCAATGCTTCATGTTGTATCTGTGAAGTGATAAGATCATCTTGCCATAACATGTGGAGTTCTTTAGGAATTTGCCTACATAGATTTTCCCAGCTGTGGTTGTTTCACACCCCTGAGCTTTCAACAGAATTCTTTTTCCTATACCAGTTTGGAATACTCTGAACCTGGCCCTCTCATGCTGAATTATAAAAAGAGGTGTGTACTTCCTGGTCCACATTTCCTCTCTGCCACATGACTGAGTTGGATTGTTTGCCTCCGTCAGTCTGCTTTGCAGCCTGAATTCTATTTGAAGCCTAACTTGAGCTGCTACTGTTATTACCTTATCCCTTCTTCCCCTTGTATTTTGGGGGAGTGGAGGAACAAGGATTTGGGCTTTGGGCTAGGGGTTGATGCCCTTGCTCCTTTCCACTTCCATTTTACTTATTCTAGCCCTGAAATATAACTGATTTTGGAGACACTTTGTTTTTTGGCATCTGCTTTATGTTTTCTTTGAGGTGTCTTATATCACCCCTCTACAAGGACAAGAATGTTTTCTTTCACTTTATGGTGCTGCTGTCACCAAAATCTCCCAGGAATTGAAACTCCTGTTATGGGGTGATGTTTGCTGCAGACTGTCTCGGCCAGTTCTTAAACTACCTAGGTCAGGGGTCAGCAGTCTTTTCAGGCCATGGGCTGGATTGACCTAGTTCAGGTCAGGTGTGGGCTGGTGCAAAGCAGACAGCTGCTAGGACCCAACCACTGCCACTTTTCCCCACAGTGGCATAGAGAGAGTATCTGCAGTTGGCACTCATCCCCGTGGCAGCAGGGGAAAGCAACACCTAGCAGTGGGTGTGGGGCAGATGGGCTGGGCAGCAAGGCTGGGTGCACTGGCAGCAGCCAGAAGCTTCCAGGAGCTGCTGGAAAATTAAGTCCGCTGCAGGCCAGATCCAGCCCGCAAGCTAGATTTTGCCATCCCTGCTGTAGATTCTGCTTTACAGGTAGCTCCTTAGTTAGGAGCATGGTTGGATGCCATGTTTCCTTGTCTTTCAAATAGCAGCTTCCTCCTCTTCTGTAAGAACCATTCTGGTCACCAAACAAGCTCAGAGACTCCCCAGCCTTTGAAGGTTCCAGGAGAAACTTGTTGAGACATGGGTGCCTTAGTGCCTGTATCATAAGACTGAGATACAGAAAATGCCAAGTCTCTCTGAAAGGGCCAGAGTTTTTCTATTCTCTTCCTCCTCCATCCTACTTAGTTATTATAGTGGCACACAAAAAGCAGGTTTGAACAAGTCTATTCTTTCAGACACAAAGTCTTGGAGACTGATCCTATTTAGTGAGAAATCTTTGCAAGTTTACAATTCAGAATAATCAAAGACTGAACCTTGCAAATCCAAATGACTTTAAGGTCTTTGAGTAGATAGCATTAGCTGAGGACCTCCTTATGGATTGAGCAGATCCCTCCCTTTCCCTGGGAATTAGTAGCTAAGTAGTACAAGTTACATTAAATGACGCAGACTTAGTTTTTCAATTCATGGCCACTTACGTAGTCATGATAAGCTGTCCTTGGCTCCAAGAGTTTGGCCTCCCTTAACATTCTGAAATGACAGAATTGCTTTTAGAATCCAGAACTTTTCAGGTTTAAGGCTCATCAGGTCATGTACTTTCTTAAGAATTCATGGTGCTACCTTGTGTTCTCTGGGAGGTGTGCCTTCACCTCCCAGTGTTGGCAATGATACTAGCCATATTTATCTACTCCTGGGTTGCTTGCATGCACCCTTCTCATCAGCTCCCTTCATTTCTGGCTGCATTTGCCAGTTTGATCCCATGCAGAAGTGCTTAAGGTTCTGCAAGTGCAACCTGTTGAATGCTACTCATGCTGCTTCCCACCATAATTTCTCCAGCAGGCAAGGATTTTGTTGATATGATCCAAGGATTCACAGAGCTGCCTCCTCTTCCTCCTCCGTTTTGGAAACCAATAGACCTGTTTTGATATAGCCTAGTTCTAGATAATAGCAAACCAGTTAACAACAAGTTATGGTTATTAGGCCTGTGTAAAGCGGCTAATATTTGCTTCGGATTCAGCCAATTCAGGGGACAGTGACTCAATTAGGTGATTCAAATCACTGTCCTGAATCGCTTTGGCCAAATCTAATTCGGAGATTCAGCTGCCACCGAATCGGCTGAATCTTTGAATCAAACAGGTCCCATCTCCTGCCTGCTCTCCCAGTCCCATCAATGGCTGGTCTGCCTGGCCCCAGCATCCCAGCTCTTAAATAAAAAAATTGGCTCCTGCCAGGTGCGGGGGCCATCCCTGCTACCCCCCATTGTCCTGCGCTGCATGGGGGGCTCTGCCATGAGCCCCCCAGAAGCCCCTATGGCCACTGCAGCAGCTGGTGACTGTGGGACTTTTTTTTCCCCATAGTTTCATAGTTGGTAGAGTCAGAAGGGACCTGAACATATC